TTGCATTCCATGTTTACCCACATTACTATTTAAGATTAGCAGGGTATTTGCATCCTTACTGCTTGTCCTCTGTAAATCCAATGAGCAGATTGTTTACAAGTGGAGATATAATAAGGTCTTTAATTTTCCTACTAAACATATCTCTGGAAACTCGACTTAGGGCATGTGTATTTTGAAACCTGAGAATCTGCTGCAGTTTACCAGCAAAGCAGAAATAATTCCTGCAGACTATACACATGTCAGGAATGTACATAACAAATCTCAGTCTGAAAGGAAAATATTTGTTCTGGTGAACAACACAGGCTTGAGCAGCACGAGTTGAGCAGCACGAGTTCAGCAGCAAGCAAGTTGCCTTTTTTGAATGGTACTAAAAAGCACCTCTTGACTGTTCTTTCATTTAATTATGTCAAATTCAGGCTGCACAATCTATCTTTGCTTACTGCCAGTGCTTTGTTCAGTGCACTAAAATGTACCCATTTGTTGTAATTCTTTAGCCCAATGAAGTGTTAACGCCACACTTGGGTATCTGTGATGAAAAGAAGCAAAAGGAAGAAGTTTAACTGATACAAGTGAGCAATAAAAGCTGCTGGAGGTCTTTGCTGAAGACACAGATTGCTTTCAAAATCCTTGCTTTTCACCTGCTTATTACTCAATTCACTCAATTACACCTATTAGACAAAGCACAACCACCCCTGTAAAAGTTCCATAAATAGTGGTGGCAGATGCATACAGCCTTAATGGACAGGATGAACTTGGCATGCTAAGATAAAACTTCTAAAAGAAAGATTTTACACATGTTGACTTGGACTTTTTTATAAACTGTTAAAAGAACTGTCAGTCAGGACATAACTGATCCTTAGGCAAGGATCCATTAAGAATAAAATGCACCTAACTGGAGCAAAAATGACAGCCTGAGCCCTTGTACACCTCCTTTTGGCTATAATTTTAAATACCGAAAACACAAGCTGTGGTTTTAATGACTCCCTTAGGTTTGAAAATTTTGGGTGAGCATCCCAGGGGATTCTAGGAAATCCTGCATACTTACTACGGGATTCATCTGGTATCAACAGCATACCTGAAAATTAGACCTGGACCTGAAGAAATGTGACACTTTCACTGAGACTGGGGATCCCCCTGCACCGAGTGGGCCATGCCTGATACTCCATGAAGTTTGCTTTATTATCTCATTTTCTTTCAATATTATTGTGCATTGAAGAGCTCTGCCTTCCAACCTAAGGAGTGCACACACAGACCTGACAGATACATCAGGTTGACAGGAGGCAGAAGCTGTGGGAATCAGTAAATTATAAAAAGCACAACAAAATATACAAGGAACAGGGAGAACCCTCTTACTGAGCCTAGGCAAACACAAGATTTGGACTCATTTCTGAGCAACAGGAAGGTCCGTGCTGTCTTGCTAGCCCTGATATTGGTGTCAGTGTTTTGGTCAGTACTTCTGTAGAGGGAAAAGCATTCAAAGGCATGACATGATCAGTATTTATGGAATCTTTTTATGGCTCTGGTGAGGCTGACCATCTCATGGAGAAGACAATATGCTTGATTTTTTTTCCCCTTGTACAGTGACTAAAGTAACAAAACCTCTGTCCTTCATTAACCTTGTAGATGCCACTGCTGTGTAATCCACGATTATGACTTTAGTAGCAAAATATGATCATCAGAAAACACACAGAAATGTTCCACACAAGTATACATTGAAAGAGTGGAAAGCAAGAAATGGCTAAAGGTGAGAAACAGACAGATTTCTACTGATTATTCTGTTAAAATAATGGGAAGTTGTAAATCCAAATAATTATCAGTATTACGATTATGCTATGAGAAACAAAGAGAAATAAATGAAAAATACCAACAGCAATCCTGGAAATTTATTCTGGAAGTAGAAAATCTACCCAGGGTTACCACTGTGAATCAAAGAAATATTTCAGGTACAATGAAACTCAGCAATTTTCTCCTAACCCCAAATCAAGTCCCAGGGTAACTTTTGCAAAGCAGGATGCTCCTCAACCTATTATTTTTCATTCTGCCTAAATTCCTGGATAAGACTAAAATACCCTGATTAAAGCTGCACTTGTGTATTTCCAGCTCAGTTGGAAACAGAGATCATGGGGAATGTGCTGTTGTCAAATTTGCAGTTCAATGTGAGGAAGTTTGGGTAAGAGGAATAAGCATCAAAACTATAGAATTTACTGTACTGAACAACCTGCCAATATTAATCATGATTATTTAAATTTAGTCAAATATCCAAATCCAATTATTAAAAAAAATACTAACGAATTCTGCTAGTAAGTCTGATTATATTACTGCTCATATAGATGCAAAATATATTCATTATGCCCAAATGTTGCCCTATGACATTGACTGGAATGAGGCATCTATTTTTCTAAATACCTATATACAGTAAAAGACCATAGCTATGGGAATGTGTGTGCAAACTATAAAAAAAAAAAAAATATATATATATATAAAAGATGTATCAGTTCCCCTGTAGTGGAGAAGCACAGGAAGGTTGCAACACTCCTGCCATAAAGAAAAAATCCACCTTTCTTTTTAATTCAAGTTCTAGGACAGAAAACCTAGTATAGATCCAGAGGGCTGTGAATTAGGACAAACACAAGGCTAAAAATGATGCCTAAAACTTCAGCAAATTTGTCAAGTGCTTTGATTGAGGTTGAGAATATGAGTCCAAATGGGTATACAGGAAGCAATCATTTTTTCATGAAGAATACGTCCTTTACTGTGCACACAAATTCTTCCTTCAGAAGGCTGTAAATTACAGTATTTATGGAATCTTAATGATCTAAACACAGTTGGAGCCTGAAGGTCAAGGCTGCAAACTGCATCCTAAATTTCTGTTTACAGATGAAGCACAGTATTTATTGCTGTACTGCTTGTGCTGCTATAGTTAAAGGGCTGCCAGCATTTCCATTATAAACCACTATTTCAGGGGTTTATAACTTGCCTATCAATCTTTTGACTGGGATGAAACATGGCATACAAGGTCCTGGCTGTGAGACTGATTTTTTTGTTTGTTTTCTTTACCAAATGACAAAAAGAATAAGCTTAAACTTTTATAAGCAAAAACCAAAAAAAAAGTGCATCAGGTTTTTCAAGTATTTCCAGTGTTCTCAGGACACAATTATATCTTCAGAAAACAAAACACAGTCACAAAACTTCATCAACTAATAAAAGGACTTTCAATGCCTAAAAAATGAAAAATAATCTAAACAAGACATAGATGCTTTTTATTTTTTAATTAAGCAAACATACTTCAGATTTTAAATGGGAGCAAAGGACATCAGCAACCTAACAGTGCCCTTGATTCTGTTTATCTGCATAGATTTGCCATTAAAGGTAACAATTACACACCTTGGCACTGTACAAAGGTTGTATCCTTTTTAAATGAACATCTAAATGATGACACACAAGGTGTCCTTTACTGTTGTATATTCCAGATGATGTCAGGTAAATTTATTCAAAGTAAAGTCAAAGCCAATGTTTTCTCCCAGTCTTTGAAATCTTGTATTGTTAAATCTTGTATCGAATTTAATTAAATTGAAAGGCAGCAAGTACAAAATTTCATTTCCACAGCATTTACTTTCACTAAAAGTGAAAGTACTTTTACTCTGTACTAAAGTACCGTGAAAAGTAGGTGAAAAATTTGTTACATTATTTTTGCATATCTAGTAATTACATTTTGGTAAATAACAAACTTAATAATGCAAGCACTCCAAGAACTGAAATATTAGAAGACCTCAAAAACCCTCTCCTTATAATCTTAAGTTTTGATATAATTTATTTTTACAAATAAAGAACTGGACCAGATTCAACAATGTTGAATGCTGCTGTTGCAATGCAACACATACATATTACATTATTATTAAACAGTTTTTTGGCTATTTTGCAACACTATACCAGTTCAGACAAGACAGACAGCACCGCTAAACATGGAATATTGGACTTTATCTAATCCCATTTTGGCTTATTTCTTTATGTTATAAATCCAGTCACAGCAGGAAGGAAGTAAATTAGCCTCTCCCCAGATGTAATTATTCTATTTTCTTCATTACAGCTGTAGGGCTTTTATTCACTGAAACTTTTGAATTCCCCATAACTACCTTGCTTTTTCTCTTCCCCTCCGCTTTTATTAAAATATGACTGCATTTGTTTTTATATCATTGCTAATAACTGGAAGAATCCCTCCTGTGGCTGAAGCTTTCTGCTTTCTTTCCCCACCTCTACCACTTGTCTGTTTGATGTCCACTTTACACGTTCACTTGCATGAGACACTGGATAATTTTTCCCATTAACTGAAATCAAAGCACAGTTTTGCTACTTTAGTTGGTTCTGGTGAGAGATAAGAGACCTGCAGACTTCTTTCTGAGAAAGGAAAAGATGGGATGACTATGACATCTTAAAACCAGCCTGGGTAGTGCAGCTGAACACATATCAGAGAATAATTCCAAGCAGAGACAAGATGTTATGAACAGTAACTGACTCAGGCCTCCTTGTTAACTGCCTTTAACTCACTGAAATGCATCCAAGAACGCTGCTGTATAATTAAATATGTTAAATAATGCTACAGAGTATCTTGTATAATTCTGAATCTTCAATGAACTGTACAAAGTTTTAAATAAAATATAGGTGGAGCTTGTCAAGCAGTATTAAACTTCAAAATATTTTCTCTTTCTGAAAGCTTCCTGTACCATCTGACACACGTTTCTGCCACGCTGCCTGGGCTGCCATCGCACCGTACGTCTCGTTAGCAGCAATGTCATGACAGAAGTGCTACAGTGCTGCATTCTAATAACCCCTTGCATTGTAATGAATTAATGTTTTCTGCAGAAAGGACGTGATAGGAAAAAAACAGCTTTAATTTTGGGTACTCACTGAGGTTTTCTTTTTAAAGACACTTCTGCCAACCAAGCAGTGGTGAATACCATTTTAGCTCAGCTACAGGCCGTGTGGGACACCTTGTACCGTACCTGTAAAGTCCTGGAGGAGCTTGATGAAGCAGGAAGCTTTTCTCCAAGCCTTGCAGCACATCATTGAGCATCCTGACTCTGACAGGAGCTCGCTCCTCGGGGTCGTTGGCCGGGCGCATCTCGTCCGACTGGAACAGCTCCGCCGTGTCCCTCAGACGTGATGCCACTGCCAGCAGCTGAGGGACGCCTGCTTCATCACCTGGAGCAGGGACAGCAAGACAGTCACCAGTGATTCACAGACCACTTATTACTCTTGCTTCCAAGTCAAAATTAATAGTCCAATTAAAACCTGAGCCTCTTTTTCCTCTGCGAGCAGCACGGAACGGGTCAAGGGAAGCCATAGATCATTCCGTGTAACCTCTGATTTGTTCTTCAAAGATCAATTTGGGCTCTGATGCTTTAAGATCTAATAAGCTGTGAGGAATGGTTTTTGGGATACAGCTTAAAATCTAGCATTGGAAAAACAGGCATGCAGGAAGCAATGGTTATAAATCAAGAACTACAATATTTCCTTCTGAGACTGAATTTATTCAATGGCATTTGATGCTGTTGCTCTTGAGTCTGAAAGCTTGTGCTTGGATTCCATAATGACTGCTCTATAGAATATTTTATTATGCAGAGTTTAATTGAATTTGATTCAACATTTTAGAATCTTAGAGGTTAACAGCAATTGTAGAGGGTTATGTGAAATTGCTCTTTTTAATCACTTAAGTCATATGCCAATGAGCCAACTTTAATTGATATCCTAATGCATATTCTAATCCAGTCAATATTTTCAAAACTTTCTAACTTGGAGTGTTAACTATTGCTTTGTTAGCAACCCCACTCAGACAGCAAAAGAATAAAAGCCTGCAGCACCTACGAGCACACCACAATTTTAGTATTTCCTTGTTCATAGTCGAGAAAGTGAAATGTGAATTGAAGCACTGTGAATGTGCAGCCTCCTCCCACCTGCAGTGCAGATGAGGAGTGTGGCCTCCTTTCCCAGTGTGTGCATGGACTGCCTTCATCTTTAAAGCACATGGAGAGAGAAAGCAGAGCCTGAACCTGATAGAAGGTCAAAAGCAGTATCAGTCAGCACAAACATTTCCAGGATGCAGAAATTGTCTTTAAAGTCAAGATTCACTTCACCTATTGACAAGAAATCCAACTATGCTTAGATCTGTCAAATAATGCCTTAATCAACCTAAACCATGCAGCTCTAGGAGCTGTCTCACCTCTACCTGAATGTGCAAACCTCAGGGAGTTCTGTACCTTAGTGACTGAGATCATTATGCCAAGAAAGTGGTTCAGGACTCGAGTTCAATGAATGTTCAACTTCCTTTTCTAAGATACACATGGAAAAATCACAAATAGCAATTGAGGAACATCGGCATGGTTTAACCTCAGCTGGCAAGTAAGCACCATGCAGCTGCTCACTCACACCCACTGGATTCCCTGATGGGATGGGGAGAAGAATCAAGAAGTTAAAACCAGTGGGTTGAGATTAGAACACCTTAATAATTGATATATAATGATGATCATCATAATAACAATAGTAATAATATAGCATCAAAAAGGGAAAAAACCCAAAAGAGAGACATAAAACCCAAGACAGAGAAGTGATGAGCAATTTTATTGGGCTGACCATGTTCAGCCTGGCCCCAGCAGCAATCAGCCTCCTTGGCCAACTCAGTCTAAGAGCATGATGTTCTCTGGGATAAAATACCCCTTTGGCCACTCCAGGTCAGCTGTCCTGGCCGTGCTCCCTCCCAGCTTCCTGTAACTCCTCTCTGGCAAAACATGGGAAACTGGAAAGTCCTCAGGGTAAACACTACTAAACAAAAACTGAAACATCAGTGAGTTACCAACCTTCATCTCATCCTAAATCCACAACACAGTACCAGCTACTAGGAAGAAAATTAAACTCCCTTCTAGTTAAAATCAGGACAAACACCAACCCATTTATCAAATAATTCATGGTTAGGATCTGAAAAGCGAGCACATAATAGTAATGGAAAAGCAAAGAGGTATAACTAAGAAATCCAAGGAAATGCCTGACTATAACATATTCTCCCTCTCATGTGGAAAAAGAGATTTGCTATTGGATACATTCCAGCAAAGGGAAAGTAGTTCATAGATCCCAAATCCTCCTGTTATTCAGCTGACTACCACATTCCAATCTAGCAAAACACGAAGCGATCCAGAATACACAGAGAGACGAGATGCTGGTGTGAGAGAAACTATCAGATTTCCTGAGATATCAAGATGACTTTCAACAATGAACAGAAGCTCCCTAGGGGAACAGGAGTGAGAGAAGATGGTTTATGTCTGCCATAGGTTTGGACAAGGTTCCTTTGCTAATGACACTTGACCAATCCATCTTTCCCTAAATAGAATGGATAAAAGGTGTGCTGGTATCTTGATATAAAGGGTTGGTAACTCTCTGAGTCTGCAGTAATTGAAATTCTGATCAGGTTAGGTTGATGCCTCATAAAAATATTATTCAAGCATATAAGCTTGCTACATTTAAGATATTTGCAAAATATCATTATCCTTAATTTCCAAATCCTCAGCAAACATCCTGTGCAGCTGAAGAACTTCCCATTCCCATGTATATAATGCAGACACTGTGCACACCTTACCCTGGGACTTGTGTCCTATTGAAATGTTTAAATTCACCCTGTTAGAAAGAATCCTTTGGTTTCAGCAAGGCACTTTGCATTCCAAATAACATAAAAAATGTATATAGATTTTGTTCTGAATCTTATATAAACAATTGCAAATGCCAGCTTTGCCTTTTCAATAAAGAAAGTGAGATAAAGGAAAATCCATCTTTCTGTACTTGGAAATGAAGCCAACCAGACCACCCTTTTAAACACAAAAATCCTGTAAATGCTCTCACTTGTTCTCCACAGCCCTTAAACCAACTCATTGCTTTACACTCAAAACCAGCAGTTGTTAGAAAACACACAGCCAGGCCCTTTTTTAATGCTCCAGTATAAAACCTGCCAGTACGGGCAGTGTCACTTCAGCCAACTAAGGACAGAACAGGCACCACCACACACTGAACTGCACCACCAAGGGAAACCAATTTATGCTTTTCTCAGGCTGAGAAGATGGGAATGGAAGGGCAAATGATTCTTCAAGAAAACCCTGCCTTGACTAATAATGTCTTAGGCACCTTGTGATGCTTTTCCAGAGAAAATCAAGCACAAGTGTTACCTCATTTAAGAGAAAACAATGCCACATTGTTGTATTTTGTATTCTTTGTCCTTTTGTCTCCAATGTGAATCATGATGACTCATCTAAGCTAGTTGTTTAGTTGCTACAAAAATAAAATTGCAAACACAGTAAAGTGACTCAGGAGCATGTGCACTCTTGATCAGGGAATTACACTGTTGAATTTCATTGCATTTGTTAAATGCAACTGGATCCTATTCAGAAACAAGTTACACCAAACAGATATTTTTACAGACCCTGAATACTTTCCCTCTGTAACTGATTGCTCTTATGAAAAGCACAGCTTGAGGTTGAACATTTTTAAATTCTTTTTGTGCCCTCTGTTATGAAAATGCTTGCCTACAAGTACTTATAGGAAAGGAAGCACAGACAAATCAGCATTTTAAGGCATGATGCTTGTTTACCATATATGTGAACATGTGTTTACATGTAAGAGAGAAGGGAAATTGCTTCAGGTTTTGATTAGCTTGCAAATTCTGAATCAGCTACGATGTGTTGCTCTATTCACTAGGAAAATTTTTCATGCTCTGCAAAATAGGATGAGCAGACCTGGCAGTAGAAAATCTGAATGGAAAATCTTTGTAGGAAGCACCCTAAAGGGGCAGAAACACAAATCCACAGACATCCACAGTGCAAAGGATGTGTTGCCATCAGCTTCAGTTTTGCTACCATGACTTCTACAGCCCAAGTAAACTCATCTGGTGCTGCTCCAAGCCTTTGTTCAAAGAAGTTATGTTAAAGAGGAATGTTGTGACATTTTGCTCTGTGCATGTCAATACAAGAGCCTGGAGAAGTAACAGCTCCAGGGAGTTTTCATTATGCTCTTTTAATACTGAAAGGGGGATTGATAAGAAAATTTGGGACAAACTTCTGAAATAGGACAATGGGTAAGGGTTTTAGACTAGGAGTAAGGAGATTTTTTACAATGAGGATGGTGGAACACTGGGCTGCCCAGGGAGGTGGTGGATGCCCCATCCTGGAAACATTCAGTGCCAGGCTGGATGAGGCTCTGAGTGTCTCAATCTACTGGAAGATCTCCCTGCTCACTGCATTGTACCAGGTGACCTTTAAAAGGTCCCTTACAACCCAAACTATTCTATGATTCTGTGAAGTATCCATGACTTTGTACAGAGCTGCTCACACTTATGGCCTACTAACACAGAATAGATTCATCCTTTCCCTTCAACACTAAATGTTTGTCCATGGAAAATGCCTTTTTCCATGACAGTCTTTTTAAAGGCTGAAGAAAGGTACTAATACATAATAACATTGAATGGATGCTGAAGACAAGATGCCAGTGTCACATGACAAAAGAGATATTTCTGTCTTATACATAGATTTGTTGCATTTTTCACCTCTGCTGCAGTCAAGAATAAAGGGTAGGAACAGTAAAGAGCAAAATTTTCTGAATTTCAGAAATTACAATACAGACAGGAGGAGAGAGTAATTCTGAAAAGCACCCAGAATGATCAGGGAAATACAGTCAAGCAGGTAAAATGATGCCAAGCTGAAGAGCAGCAGATAGTTGTAGGCAATGAGCATGCAGCCATCAAGTAAATGAGAGAGATAGGTGTCTCCATCGATTTTTCTAAGGACAGAGAGTTTAGCCTGATGTTTTGAAATGTATGGGTAGAGACAGAGCTGTGGAAAGTCATGCAGACTTCCCTGGGAATGACTTATTGTAAACTAGATTATTTTAAACTTCTGCTAGTGCTGCCTACTATTATCACCCCAAGTACTTCAGCTGCAGTAACATCTGTAAAACATCCATTCTGGGGAGAAGAAAGGGCCTAGCTGATAAGAAGCCACACACAGCTGACACTGCATCAGCCAAAGAGCTTTCAATCACGGCTCTTGCACTTCTGGAAAACCAGAAAATCTCATCCACCCTCAATTTGTCTTCGTAAGGCTCTCCCTCTCAGCCAGTGGCTATCAGAGCTGGCTGCAATGTGCTCCAGCAGCCTGTGCTGACAGCCACAAGTGGGGATCTCACCTCGCCTGCCTGGTGCTGCACAGCCACAATTCAGGGCTGGGGCAGACACCAATTTTGAAAGTTTGCACAAGTCCAAGTGACTGGCAATAAAAATGACATCAGCTTCAACAGCACTCAAGTGAGGGACACCACCAACCTGGCTGACTTTATTTTTGTAAACTGGGTGGCTGAACTTGTTATTGCTGGGACAGTCAGGTGCAAAGATACAAGAATGCTTTTATTCCTAATGAGGTGCTGGAGAATCTCCATCATCAGTCCCTGAAACTTGCTGTAAAATACACCAGATTTGAAAGACAGGCTACAAGGAGCACAGTGCTAAGAGCTTTCAGCAGAAAACACAAATATATTCTGGATAAAAAATGCTTGTACACATGCAAAACACTTCTACACAAATGATTGTACATTTTTACTTGCATATACATACAAAGCATTTCTACAGGAATGCTTAAAAGCACTTTTGTTTGTATCATTCACACAGCTGATCTGACATCTTGTCTGGACCCCACCTCAAAAGATTAATTGGCTTTTCATAGGATACAAGGCCTAGCAAGATATTAATGTATTTGTATCAAGTTAAAATGGGTCTTGACCTTAAATGTAGAGAAGGCACAAATCCCACACAGCTGCAAGGTGTAGCTAATGACAATATTCTAATCAGTCACTTATTTATGAATTTGTTTAAAATATCACATCTGTGACTAGACAGACAAAGCCTGACTAGACCTGGGGACCTGGATTTCAGTGTTGGAGGCCCCATCTCCCATCATTTATGACCACAAGGTTTCCTGTTAAACATCAGACCATCAGCAGAGGCAGAAAAGTAAGTGTCTCCAGCCCCAACCCTTTCTTTCAGATAAACCCAAAAGCAGTGGTTTGTTTCCAAGAGTTCTGGTGTGTGCAAGGGGAGAGAACACGTGTCACTTGACAGCCTCTTCCCCATCTTTCTGGAACAGGCCATGAGCCATATGAACATGTTGGGGATGACCTAACTTGCCATCCACACTGTCTTGGATGTAAGAAATGGTCTGTGAGGTACTGAGTAATACCCCATGGAATTCAGCAGAGCTAATTGTATAGACACCCACCACATTACAGAGTTAAATCTTTTAGAAATGTAAATAAATGCAGTATTAACAAGCATCAAGGTATACACAACCTTTTGTGAGTACATCCAGGAGATTGCACAACAGTGACTCAAATATTTACACAAAATTTAACTTCAAGCATGTGAGAAAGTCCAACGTGTAATAAAAATCTGTGTTAAAGGAATTGGCTGAACCAGATCCCAGAGGCACAAAATTAAGCCTAATGAACAAATAATTTACATGTCATGCAGATTTACCTTCATCTTTCTACATTTACAGTTTGCATTGAGTTGGAGAAGAATAGCGCTTACTAAGACATTCCAACTTTGAACTGGAAAGTTTGTTCAACATAAAATCTTTTGAAGAATGAATAAACCCATGAGCCACATAAAAAAAGCACAACTTCTCATTTAAGTAACTGAAAGGACCATTGTCTTAATGTTTTCCAAAATGGACATAAAGTGTTCTTTTATATAAGTCAGAGACAGACAAGACATGAAAGCCATGAGAAAAATCATTAAACAAAACTCCAAAGTGAACAGCTGGGAGAAGATTTATCCTGCTGGCCCTACAGCCTAGGAAATAATTTTCTCTCCCCTGAAGTTGTAGAGATAAATGATCTAACTGAAGTTAGAGAGAAAAAAGTCAGTTTAAATCAACGTTTCCTATTACTCAAAATAAAGAAAAAGGAAGAACAATAGAAGATATCTCATGTTCAGTTGAAGGAATACCAGCTGAGCCACACTTCATTTGATGATCATCCCCTGCTGTGTTTAGGCTGAACTAAACCAATGTTTATGTGGCACAACAGAGCTAAAATCACTTGTCTTTTTAGATGCTCACTGGTTCCAGACCAATACTTGCCTACTGACTCCTACATCTTCACAATGATGGATGGCAAAGATTAAACAAAAGGTATCGTACATCTATGAGTATGTGTTAGAGAAAAGTGGTGCTTTGTAGTGTTGGGAGTGAATGAAATGCAGGGGTAGCATCTGAAGATTGTGCAAAGTCTTTACATTTGAGATATGATCTCACAATTTGCTGAAGCATATGTGAAGTTTGGGTGTGATTTTATAGAAATTACTTCTCTATTTAACAGATCAACTTTAGAGTTTCATAAATCTATGAACAGAAATATTTTTCAAAGGCCTTAGGACACTACAGGTAACCTGTACTGCTTAATTGATAAAGTAACATCAGAAGAAATCAAAAAACTTTGTGGCTTTCTTTAGCAACAAAACCTGTGTTTTATTCAGCATTATATAATGACCCTATTTAACTAGTAAAATCACTGGCTATTATTCAAGTATTGAAAATATGTATCAGGGATTAGATGATGCTTTCCCCCACCCCTGTAATAATGGAGAACAGTATTCCTATAATGAAAATTACCTTTCAGACTGTTCTGAACTTCTAACGCGATGTCGAGGGCATTAAACGGCAAAACTGGATCAGAGGCAATTTGCAAAGTCACTTGTCCTGTTAGCTGAAAAATACAAAAAGACCCAAAACCCAGTCAAATTATTTCCAGCAGATTTAATGTTCTTCTGGAATAGCACATGTTTTCATTACATTGGATTTTCAGGGAAATAAACACATATTTATTATAAGGAATATGATCAGGACCATTGCCTTGCTATACAACATTACAAAATGTTCAGAGAATACAAGTTATGACTACACACAACAGTTCTGTGCAGTGTGTCTTTACTGGACCTAGGATGCTGCAGGATTCTCTGAAGGACCTTTTTGCTTTGTTTTCAAATAAAATATCTCAATATTCTAAACATGGGAATGAAGTTTACAATTTTACTTAGGTCTCTAGTCTTAGCTATCAGATTTTGAGAGTTTTCACAACTAAAATAAAGAATCACAGACATTATGGATCAGGAGATCAAGCCTAGGGCTAAATGCAAGCTGACCTGAAAACCCAGTGCCTTTTGAAGTGTTATGTGACAATTCAGTGCACGCAGATGTACAACTCCCAGGCTGCACAGAACACTGCTTTCTCTCAGGAACTCAGGGAAAGAAATTCCCAGAGAGAGCTCTCAGTCCACTCCAGACTAGACGTCAGCACCTGTCACAAAAACTCAATGGCATGAATGCTTCTTTTTGAACAGTTCACAGATGAGGCAGCGGCTGAGTGGCCTGAGAGCTTTTTTCTGCTTACAGAAGGTCAGTTCTCCAGCTCGAGGCTTAGACATGCTACAGAGGCTGTGTACAGAAATACATCTTCCACACCTAGCTGTGATTAAACAGAGGATTTCAGTCTCCAGGCTGCCAAGTCCATCACTGTTCATGGGAGCTATAAAAACAAACTGACAAAAACATGCAAGAAACTTTCATTCATCTTCTTCATATATTGATATTGCAAAAAGGGAAAAAATACCTGTAAGGCTGTGTTCTAAAATAGAATGATGGCTGCAGGTGATGGTGACCGTGTTGATAAAAATGTGGGCTGAATAGAATCATATTGTACAGTTCTTCCCAAGGTGCTGGGGGAGCAAGAATAATATCTATCCTTCAAAAGCAATATGATCGTTTCTTTGCCAAAAGTAGCATTTTAATTTTACAGTAGGAAGTAGCAAGAAAAGACAACAAGCCTCAGTAATATTAAAAACAATAGTAGTGCAATTGAAAAGGAAAACCATCTCCCAAGAAAGTGGATGAAAGCTGGGTAATATCAGAAATACAAGTTTCCTGGAGAAAAATTAATAGAACCTCACAACATTTCTCAAAAAGCACAGAAGGAATGACCTGACCACAGACTGGTTTGGGTAAAGACTGAGGGAATCATGCTGTGTATCAGACTGCAGCCCACATCTGAGCACAGATGTGCTGTGAAGCTATGGAGATTTACCTCCAGAGAAAACAATATCACAGAAGGCACAAAGAAAAAAACCTTATATAGAGAGAAATATACCTTATATTATACCTTATATATTCTCTCTATACCTTATATAGAGAGAAAAAATATAGGGAGGAATAATGGTATGTCAGGCCATTATCAGGAAAAACAAAGACCTAAGAGTGAACTTAACAGATTAAAAATACTATGTCTGGAGAGGTGCCTTAAAGTATTACACAGTTAACTTCTTCTGAAGAAACTTCCCAATTCCTCAGGCCATCAATGCTCAAAAGCCATTACATTATCTATTACAAAAAAAAAAATGTCTGGAAAAAAATTACATCTATTACACAAAAATTGTCTGGAAAGCACTAAAAAACACTGGTCTCAGAGATATCAGAGTGGTATTATGGAAACACAAAAACTGTTAGGGCAAACTCAAACCTGTACAAGTCTGTACCTAAACCAGGTCCACATAATCCAGCCAGAAGCAAATCTGTAAAAAATCTGGTTTTAAATATAAAAATGGCACACAAAATCCTTCCATGTCCTGCATGGAACTCTTGCAAGATATACTGCCCAGAACGTGGGCACCCTGTGAATGGCTACAGATAAGCAACTGTGACACTGAAATAACACCCTAATAAAAGCAGGCATTCTACATGGACCCCACACCCACTGAACCCCAGGACAGCACCAGAGAACACTTAAATTCTTCCTGGACAGCCCATTTCTGCTAAAACTTTCGCTAAATGGTAATACAAATACATATCCATAGGTATTTTAGGAAGTGACATCAATAGTTAAAATGTTGCTGATACTGTACAATCTGCTGCCGCAATTTTTAAGAACACAAAAGCAAGGGAAAAATGCTTCTTTTGTGAAGCAGGAAAGTGGCATTTAAAGAGGACAATACTGTAGTAAGCAACTTCATCATTATCTCCTGCAGAATCGGCTTCATTTTTATGAATTCTTGCCTTATTTCTGTTTCTTCCAAAGAACTTCAGTTTGCTTTCAACTATAGCAGACCAAATCTGTTTTCTTTTTCCTACTCAAATAAAGTGATACCATCCAAATCTTATGACTGACTGAAGCATTTTAGAAATTTTACAGTCTCTGGCTAACACTGCAGACAGTGTGTTAGCAAACAGGTAGCAGTGGTGTTTATTAAATCACGTACTTCGTGGGCTAATCTGGAAGAAATCAATCATGTAAAGGAAAGCTCAGAGCATTGATCTGAACAGAGTAAGTAATAATGCTGCAGGAGCATATATCAAACCCACATAAAGCAGCAAGACAGAAAAGGCTACTGATTTCTTATTTATAGTCTTATTTTTGGATATACCATTCCCCTGAGCGCAACACTGAATATACATGGAAAATAAAGACAAGCTTCGGCCCCCTTTTCCCAGGTGAAAAATGTATCAGACTGACTACTGAATTATTAAATGCAAGAATAATTTAGCTAAGAGTAAAGACAACAATTTTCTCATGAAGTGAAAAGCTAAAGCAGGATGATTGATTCTGTTCCCATACTGAGGAGGTTAAAACACTAATGACAATTTCTCAAACAGCATTTATACATAATACACATACAATACACAATAATTGATGTAACATTTACACAATTATCAAGTGTAAGAAAAGATCTTAGAGTTCAAATGCTAATTCATCCAATAATGATTTTCTTTCTATTTTAAAAAGAAAAAATAATGACTAACAATGCACTTGGCTGTGGGAAAGGTGTTTTTCAGTAAACAAAAATTAATTATTTAAAGAACTTCCAATTACTTTAAAAATAAGTATTAATATAAAATGTAACAATAATTGTACTTATACTTATTTGTTCTCTGTGGGTGGTGAGGCCGTGGCACAGGGTGCCCAGAGAAGCTGTGGCTGCTCCATCCCTGGAAGTGTCCAAGGCCAGGTTGGATTTGGCCTGGAGCAACCTGGGCTAGTGGAAGGTGTCCCTGCCCATGGCAAAGCTCAAAGATGAGTTTTAAGGCCCCTTCTAACTCAATCCATTCTGTGATTCTATGCATACTGCAAAACAAATCTCAATATTTAAAATAGGTTTATACCAAAATAACATTACTTCAAGGTCTTTTACCTAAAAGCATAAACATCTTTGTAGGAAGGAAATAACTGCTGTCCCTGCTTTTACTTCTCTGACACTGTGTACATCCCAAAAGATAAAAGGAAAAATCACAAACTTCAAAAAAAAAGCTGGTGTTAAAGATGATTCAGTATCACATGACATTTCCAAATGACATTGTAGGTTCTTTTCTCTTCCAGAGTTTTACAAACCATTCCTTCAGGAACTGTGTATTCTTCCAATTCTGCCTATATATGAACCTAATTTGACTATAAAATCCAATTTTCAGGTGGATCCACAACACTTTCTAAAGACTGTGACAAAAAAAATACCTGGATTAAATGCACACAACATGTTCCTCCATACGAATTATAAATATACGTTACCAGTTTAGCTGTTTTACAATGCAAATAAGGAAATGAAATAAAGTGGAGTTTGGAGGAGGGGGGGGGCATTCATCACAGGATGGGTTTTTTTGTATGTCACAGCTGTTTTCTCAGGGAGTTAAACTCAGTGTTCAAGACAACTTTCTTCCTCAAACATCCCAGCTGCATACCAGCAACATAAAGCATGTCTGCTGGCACACAAATTTAATTTTTTAAAAAATATGAATACTTTAAGCCCAGGCTAGATAAATGTGAAAGGCTCCACAGAGTGTCTGGTACACAGATATAGTTTTGCTCTGGGGGCATGCTGCTCCTGAGCCTGCCTGGCAGGGACAAGCCTCGAGTGCTGTCTGGTTTTCCTGACAAGGCAGGCACAGCCACTCATCCTCCACTCTGCCACAGCAGCAGAAACTTGCAAGACGAATAAAATTAAAGCATATTTAGTGGATATGAAGATATGAAAATATTATGTGTGAGAGAGATCAATCTGCTAGAATAAACATCAGCATGCAGGAATTTCTTTAACACAGAAGTTTACATGTCAGTCTTGGGTTTTTTTTTGTTTGTTTGTTTTGGGGTTTTTTTTTGGTTTTTTGGGTTTTTTTTTTTTTGATTCCTGGAATTTGAAACTGATGTATCCAGCCCGTACTATGCAAACGTCAGTGGGTGGAAGTGCTGAGCCTTAAGGACATTTTTAGTTACATTAGGAGTGTTAAAATCTAAACAGACATCTCAGATCTCTTCATATGCCAAGTTACAAACAACATAACTTAAAAAATGAGGTAAATGCCATGTTTAGCCTTCTGTAAACAATGTCTTCAGCAGTGTTGTACTCCAGTTTTACCTGCTGGAAAGAATTAGGCTCAGCCACTTGAAACCTGAGCTGTGCAGCAGCAACTCCTTTGCATTTCAAGCCCTATACCTCTGCAACATACTTTTAATATTTTATTCTGTGCATGTTAACAACACTTTACTGACAGCTGTGCACTTCCAGAGGAAACCAGCACACATGTGGCAGCTTATCCACCAAAACCATGACAAACTACGTGAGAGGAGAGGTAATGTGACATGGTAGTGCGTAGACCTGTGCAGATTCTCAGCTACAAACTCAGCATCCCCCCATCCCTAAGACTGCTACAGATCCAAAGAATCCTTGG